TACTCGAATTGGGCTCGATAATTAAATTCGAATTGGGCCGAATAATTACTAGACTAGACTTAAGAATATAATTGGTCGGTTAATTAAAAATATGACGGCTTGTAGTAATAGTTTCGACTTGGGTCGAAAATTAATATTGGGCCCGGAGTTAAAATACTACAGGGGCTCGATATTTAAAATATCACTTGGGCTTGGAAATTAATTCGACTATTCGAATTAAAAATGGTCGACTAATATTATTTGGATTCTCTCAAAAATTAATTGGGCTTGAATAATCAAATTATCCGACAACGGTTCGCTTAAATGAAGTTTCGATTTTAATATCTAAAATCGAATAAATTTTTCATGGCTTAGACTTTAATACTAATTGTTTAATTTAATGCAAATAAATATAAATAATGCATCAAATTTAGAAACTTAATATTTATGAAAATATAATCGACCTCCATAAATAGTAAATAAAAATCTGGGCGTTACACGTTGTGCCGTCGTGAGAGCCGCCGTTGTGCCGCCTCGCCGTCGCCCTGCTCAGCCCGCCGTCTAAAGCCCTTGCGGGGTGCTTTCCGGTGAATCTCTTTGTGAGAGGAGGGGCTTTGCGACGGAGTGGCCGTGTGCTTGGCTTGTGTGAGGAGGAGCAGCCTGGGGATTGGGCCGAGGAACCGGGGCTGCCGTCCGTTGGCCACCACTTAGCCGCTACTTACCGAGGGTGTCGAGTTCAAGGATAATCTGAGCCGGGAGACTTCGTGTCGTCATTATTCGGTCAGATTTCAGTCAAAGGGAGTTTTTCTTTCCATTCTCTTTCATTACCTATTTTACAGCATTTTACTTAGTGTTATTTTTCCCTTTTCTTCTCTTTTTTGCCTGCTGCTAATCACATCTGCTTTGTGATGAAATTTGCAGCTGAAACGGGCTGAAAAAACGTTAAGGAATAGGGCAGCTGGAACCAGCCCGGGACAGAAAAGGAGCAGACTCGAAGTTCCTGTACACGAGCAGCACTCCAGCAGGCCCCAAAAGCGTGCATTGCGGTCAGCCGAGTAAAGATACGAGCTTCCACTGTGAATATGCCGAGCGGTGGAAACGGGACGGCCACATAACAACGGTATCAGAGCCGTCCCGCCACCACACTGGTAAGTCGAGCACCTACGTGTTAGGGCTCGCTCTGGTATTAGCTCTAACTCTGTCTTTTTTTCGCTTTCGTATTTGTAGCCCCTGGACGGGGATTGCGCCTAGGGAATAGGATTGCTTGTAGCCTCTGGACGAAGATTGTGTCCAGGGATTAGGATTGCTTGTTGGGAAACTAGCTGCTAGATCACTAGGTTAGATATGCATGCTATGTGTTAAGTGTGCTTATCCTTGTTGCTCTGCCTGTGGCTATTTTTCTGTGGTTCTAGCATTAAATTGTGTATTTTTTGCTGTCTTGCTGCTTAATTTCGGTGAAATTTGCTTGGTGCTGAATTTTTGTTATTTTTTGAGTCTTTGTGCATCTTTTTTTGCTGCTGAAAATCAATTGTGCTGAAAACTGTGTGTTTAAACTGCTGAAATCTGATTTGGACTGAATTCTCTGTGAATTTAATTGCTGAAAAATCTGTTTTTGTGCTGAAACTGAGTGTTTTAATTGCTGAAATTTGTGCTGCTATTTTTAAATAGAATATGTTGTGTTTTCTGTGAAAATGGCTTCGTTTCCAGCTTTTAATGTGGCTCCGTTTGACGGGAAATCTGATTTTTTAATTTGGCAACAAAAAATGAAAGGAATTCTTATTCAGCAGAGGGTGTTTAAAGCCGTTGAAGGCTCGTTTTCACTCGATGAGCCTAAAGATAAAATTGCTGAAATGGATCAATTTGCTTATTCGTCAATTATCTTGAACTTGTCTGACTCCGTGCTTATGAAAGTTGGTAAACTTGATTCTGCTAAAGATATGTGGGAAAAATTGGAAGAACTATATACTGGAACTTCTTTGCTGAGTTAATTGTTCTTGCTTGAAAAATTTTTCCAGTTGAAACTTGATCTTTCGTAAGACATTGATGAGAATCTTGATGTGTTTACTAAACTTGTTCAAGATATTAAATTGACCAGTGATAAGCATATTGATGATTATACTCCTATTGTGCTTCTAAATGCTATTCTTGATCCTTATAGTGATGTCAAGCCTGCTATTAAATATGGTAGGGATAATGTGACGCTTGACACTGTTGTGAATGGGTTAAAGAGTAAAGAATTAGATTTAAAAGCTCATAAAGGGAGTAAAAATTCGGGTGAGGTTCATTTTGTTAGAGGTCGACAACAAAATAGATTTCAAAATCAAAAGACCTCTAACAATAATGGTAACCAACCTGCTGAAAAGAAAGAAGGTAAAGGAAAAAGCCGTTCTAAATCCCGTCCGAAAAATCGTAAGTGTTACAATTGTGGTGACATTGGGCATTATGCTAAAGAGTGCACTAAACCCAAAAAGAATCAAGCTAATGTGGCCTCGTGTAGTGATAATCTTGGTGATGTATTTGTGGTGACTGAAATATGTGATATGCATGCTAATGTGATTTCTATGCATTCTTATCTTTGTGAAAATGAATGGCTTGTTGATTTTGGTTGCACTTTTCACATGTCTCCATATAGAAATTTGTTTTCAAACTACAAAGAGGTTAAAAATGGCTCTGTTTCTATGACAAATGAGAAGCTTTGTGATGTTGCTGGTATTGGTGATGTGTGCCTTAAGTTTAATTCCGGTTATATATGTGCTTTGTTTAAAAAATGTTCATCATGTTCCCGACTTGTGCCATAACCTGATTTCATGTGCTGCCCTTGAGGATGACGGGTTAGAGGATAAATGGGGTAAAGGGGTTATGAAAATTCTGAAAGGTTCATTGGTTATTTTCAAAGCCGAAAAACAAAAAAACTTGTATGTTTGCACTACTACTTGTGAATCACATGCTGAAATTTCTGTGAATGTTGTTCATGTGGACCAAACTGATCTTTGGCATAGACGTTTAGGTCATATGAGTAGTCGTAGTCTTGAAATTTTGCATAAAGCGGGCTGTTTTGGTAAAGATAAATTATCGTGCGTGCCGTTTTGTGATTCTTGTGTACTTGGCAAGCAACAACGTGTTAAATTTCCTGTGTCACCTTCCCCTAAACCCTCTATGTGTTCGGAAATTCTTGAATATTTGCATGCCGATGTTTGGGGTCTCGCTAGTGTTTCGACACATGGCGGGAGTAGGCATTTTCTGTCTGTGATAGATAATTTTTCAAGAAAAGTCTTTGTGTTTCTTTTGAAAAATAAATCTGATGTTTTCGAAACTTTTAAGACTTGGAAAACCTTGATTGAAAACCAAACCGGTAAGAAGATTAAAATTCTTAGGACTGATAAGGGGCTTGAATTTTGCAATAATTTGTTTGATGAATTATGTGCTCAATCTGGTATTCAAAGGCATAAAACCGTGCCTTACACCCCTCAACAAAACGGTATTGCCGAGCGAATGAATAGAACTTTACTTGAAAGGGTGAGGTGTATTTATCTAGTTCGGGTCTTTCAAAAAAGTTTTCGGGTGAGGCCGTTTTAACTGCAGCTTATTTGATAAATAGGTCGCCTTCCGTGCCTTTGAATGGTAAATGTCTTGAGTTTGTTTGGTCTGGTAAAGAAATTTATATTTCAAACTTGCGTGTTTTCGGTTGTGCTGCATTTTGTCATACAAAACTTGATAAACTTGAACCTCGCTCAATGAATGTGTTTTCTTGGGATATCCTGAAGGTGTTAAAGGTTATAGATTGTGGCTTAGAAGCGTATCCGACTTTGAGGCCGTGATAAGTCGTGATGTTGTGTTCAATGAATCTGAAATGCCATGTTTAATTGCTTCTTTGTCTGCTCCTTTACCTGATGCATCTGAAAATGCTCCAAATGCGGTGGAGCAATTGAGTGGTTTAAGTGATTTCGATAATTATAAAATTTGCATGCTGAAAAGGAAACCGAACGTGCTGTGTTTGATAATCGACATGCTGAAATTGCTGAAAATGAACCTGTAGTTGCTGAAACTGAAAATCAGCATGCTGAAAATGGTGAAAATGTCGATGTGCGTGATGAATATGTGGAAAATGTGCCTGAAAATGATGTTGATTTGCATGATTATCAACTTGTTAGAGATAGGACTAGAAGGGATCGTAAGAAACCCTCTAAGTTTGATGATTTTCACATGACTTCATATGCTTTTGGTGTTTTTGAATCCATTGATAATTGTGAGCCTAAATCTTATGAGGAAGCCTTAAAATCTGTGAATTCTTTGCAATGGATGAATGCTATGCGTGAAGAAATTAATTCGTTGCATGTGAATCATACTTGGTCGCTTGTGCCTAAACCTGATAATTGTTCCTTAGTGGATTGCAAATAGTTGTATAAGGTTAAACAAGAGAATGTTTCGGTTAGGTTTAAGGCTAGACTCGTAGCAAAATGTTTCACTCAACGTGAGGGTATTGATTATACCGAAATATTTTCTCCTGTTGCGTGCGTATCATGCTTGCTTTAGTTGCTCACTTTGATTGGGAATTAAAGCAAATGGATGTTAAAACTGCTTTCTTGCATGGTGAATTAGATGAGAAAATATATATGAAACAACTTGTCGGTTTTGTGGATGCTAAGAAATCTGATTATGTGTGTTTGTTGAAGAAATCCTTGTATGGTTTAAAACAATCTCCTAGGAAATGGAACAAGAAATTTGATATGTTCATGCTTTCTTTAAAGTTTAAGAGGAGTTCTTATGATCATTGTTTGTACTTTAAAGAAAATGTGAATGTTCCTGTTTTTCTGCTCATATATGTTGATGATATGTTGCTGGCCAGTCCTTGCATTAAGTCTATTGCGCATGTTCAAAAATGTCTAAGTGATAAATTTGATATGAAAAACCTTGGAGATGCTAAAAGGATTCTTGGAATGAACATTATTCGTGATAGGAAAAACTCTGTGATTTTTCTTAATCAAATTTCTTATGTGGAAAAGATTTTGAGTAAATTTTCTATGTCTTCTGCAAAATCCGTGAACGTTCCCCTTGCTGCCCACTTTGTGCTAAGTAAGGATCAGTCTCCTAAGACCGATTCTGAAATTGATTTGATGAAAAATGTGCCTTCTTCAAATGCAATTGGTTCTGTGATGTCTCTCATGGTTAGTACTAGGCCGGATATTGCATATGCGGTTAGTTGTTTGAGTAGGTACATGTCTAATCCGGGTATGCCTCATTGGGAAGCTCTTAAGTGGTTGTTACGTTACTTGAATTATTCTATGCATGTTGGTCTGAAATTTTCGAAGTGTTCAGAGGGTGTTAAACTTGTTGGCTATGTTGATTCGAATTATGCAAATGATAGAGATAATAGGAAATCAACAACTTCATATGTGTTTACTTTGTGTGGCTCTTGTGTAAGTTGGAAATCACTACTACAATATATTGTTGCTTTGTCTACGATCGAATCTGAATATGTTGTTGTAACTGAGGCTTTGAAAAAGCTGTTTGGTTGAAGGGTCTCTTATGTGAAATCGGTTTTCTTGAAAAAGATGTTGTTGTGTTTCTGATAGCCAATCGGGGATTCAATTGTGTAAAAATCCTGTTTTTCATGATCGCACTAAGCATATAGACGTTAGGTTCCATTTCATACGTGATATTGTGTCTAAAGGCTTAGTTAATCTTGAAAAAATTGCATCGGAGTTTAACCCCGCTGATATGGGAACTAAGTGCTTACCTGTTGAAAAATTTAGATCATGCATGAGAACTTTGAACTTCGATTCATTTGATTGATGTGCTGTAATTTCTGTATGCTTGTAGGTAGTGTACTATGTGTTTGCTGCCTGTTCTCGATACTTGTGCTAACTTGGTGAAAAGTGCAGGTGTCATTAGGTAATGATGAAAGTTCTCCGCCCCCTCAAGGTGTCCGGTATTCGGTGGTGGGCCAAATTCGGTGGAGAAATGTTGGGAATTTGGCCCAAAACTAAATCCCTATCTCAGGCCCAAGGAAGCCCCGACCCAATCCCGACTGGGCCTGGCCCTCTTACACCTTTAATTGGCAGGATGTCCCTTGACCGTTGGATTTAGGGAATTAATCCCAGCCATCCGTCCCATACCTTATATATACTCTCACACCACTCTAACCCTAACCCACACTCTCACTTCACTCTCTCACCCTGTTGTGCCTAAAAACCGATCTCTCTCTCTCTCTCTGTGAGAAAACACACCGACGATCTCTAAGTCACTCTCTTTTCTGTTCTTTGTGACCTTTGAGTGTGAGTACCGCCGTTGTGCCGTCGTGAGAGCTGCCGTTGTGCCGCCTCACCGTCGTCTGCTCAGCCCGCCGGCTAAAGCCCTTGCGGGGTGCTTTTCGGCAAATCTCTTTGTGAGAGGAGGGGCTTTGCGACGGAGTGGCTGGGTGCTTGGCTTGTGTGAGGAGGAGCAGCCCGGGGATTGGGCCGAGGAACCGTGGCTGCCGTTCGTTGGCCACCACCGAGCTGCTACTTAGGGTGCCGAGTTCATGGATAATCTGAGCCGGGAGACTTCGTGTCGTCATTATCCGGCCAGATTTCGGTCAAAGGGAGTTCTTATTTTCATTCTCTTTCATTACATATTTTACAGCATTTTACTTAGTGTTATTTTTTCCTTTTCTTCTCTTTTTTGCCTGTTGCTAATCACATCTACTTTGTGCTGAAATTTGCAGCTGAAACGGGCTGAAAACGTTGAGGAAAAGGGCAGCTGGAACCAGCCCGGGACAGAAAAGGAGCAGACTCAGAGTTCCTGTACACGAGCAGCGCTCCAGCAGGCCTCAAAAGCGTGCATTGCGGTCAGACGAGTAAAGATACGAGCTTCCGCTGCGATTATGCCGAGCGGTGGAAACGGAACGGCCACATAACACTTGGGATCGAGAAATTTTTTGAATGCCGGACGACGGAAGAGTGAAGACGAGATGAGGGCGTATGAACTATGACTGTGAGAGAGAACATAGAAGTGGCTGGCGAGAAAGTGAGAACTGAGAAGTGAGAATTAGGGCAAATTCTTAATTGGGATATTTTTAATGTTTATATCATAATATAATTATCAAGAATATAACAATATATAAATATATCATAAATAAAATGTATACTATATATAATTTATAAAATTTAGTTAATTATTAACGAGTTGAATATTCGATATTTTTTCGAATCGAATATCTACCCATTCGGATTTATAAAATATTATTCGTATTCGAATTCGAATCACTAATCGAATAAAAAAAAAAAATTGATTTGTTTACGAGCATATTCTTAAGTCAACACTCAACAGTCACTAGGAAGATGAGTGCCTGCAGAAAGACCAAAAAGCCCTTGATGATGTCCACTAATATCCAACGCAATTTCCACTCTAAAGATACGGATAATAGTAGAAAATAATTTTCTGCGTCTCGAATCCATCCTCCACAAACCAAATAAATATCCACTCATGTGACCATTCTTATTCTCTTTTCAGATAATTGGAGAATTCCCATGGCGAGCTCCCTGATTTCTTCTCCTTCTTTCCTGGGGACTCCTCTTCCTTCTCTTGCTCGCTATGGCTTTGTACCTCACAACAGGCGCATCAGCACGAAGGTGAGGTTCAGCCTCCACCACCTCCCGCCAATCGATCATGGCGCGATTGTCGAAAGAGCTGAGAGCTTGCTCTACACTTTGGCCGATGCTGTCGTGGCTGTCGATGGTGGCGCTTCTGTATCTGACTCCGCCGCCACCGCTCAGAAAAGTGGGGGCTGGTTCGGGTTTATTTCAGAAGCTATGGAAGTTGTTTTGAAGGTATATGGTGATTCTTTATGGGAATTTGTCTTTTCTTTTATCAGAGTTTACTCTATAGTTTTTTTATTTTTTTAAGTGTTTGTTGTACGTGGAAGTTTCTTCAGAAGCTGATCAATTGAACTGCTTTTAAACACAACCCGAATGGGTGTGCTAAACAAGGTGCCTGATTGTGCCTCGTGGATTATTTATTGGGATTGAGGGATCTATGGAGATACAATTGCATGGACCTAACTTCTCTAGCTGAGTCTCAATTGGCCTCATGCTTTTTTCTAGCCTGTTAGTTAGGTGAACAAGTATGTGGCATATCTGTCTCACAACTGTATCATTTTGAAAACGGAATGCCATATTAAAAGAAGTCTGTGGTTTAATAGTTCTATGAACGGTATCTTTGTGGAGCTTAGAGAAAGTGACCATAATTCAGAGTCACGATATGATCTTAACACATTGGTGATCTGTAAGGGGCTTAAGCAATTTGGTTTTGGCTAATATGCTCTTTCTCTTGCAATGTTTGAGCATTCAAAGGAGATTGAATGATCTATGACTGCTAGACCCTTAAGTCAAAGATAACTGTATAACCCAATTAGCTGATTTTCTGAAAACCTGGCTTCACTTGTATCAGGTACTCAAGGGTGGACTTGAAACTGTTCATGTACCATATGCTTATGGGTTTGCAATAATACTACTCACAGTTCTTGTTAAAGTTGCCACATTCCCTTTGACCAAGCAACAGGTATGCTCTGTTGCTGCAACTTTGATTAACATTACAAACATGTGTATTTTCCCACTTAGTTTTCTCTAGCATAATTTTCTTATTAACTAAATATATTTCCTTGAAATGGTTTATCATGTCGTTTTGCCTTTTCTGCCTTCTATTGAATTGTTTGCTTTTAGTAATGTCTCATAATACCTATATTAGATCTGAAAGATACTGCGCATATCTTTTGTATTAGGTTGAATCAACGTTAGCAATGCAGAATCTTCAACCAATGTTAAAGGCTATCCAACAAAGATATGCAGGAAATATGGTAAGAACATTCCTTTGTATTTTCATGTAATTGTGGATATTATTGATGATATTTTTATAGATAATGCTTGGGTATTGCTCTAGGACTAGAAATTTCACTTTTTTTAGCAGGAGTCAATTATTTGAATTTGGTAATCATCATGATTATTTTTCTGACGCCAATGGGGAATAGAAAGACAAAGTATCTATCCAACAAAATATGATGGAAGCAGGATTAGTTTTTATAGTTAAACGGTAATTCACATGAGATATTTTCACAGTGTTATTATATTAGCACTATTACCACCAGATGTGTACTTTCTATCGGAGTGAATATGTCCAAGCTATAGGCCTATGGTATTTGGTTTGATTTCTTGTGGAGGTCATCCTAGTTTCTTTTAATAATATTCAAGTTCTAGGAGAAAGATTGTTGGCCATTTATTTGTTGAAATATTTACCCTAAGGCCCAAGCATATTTACGACTGGTTTTAAATGTTGTACTGATATTAATAAGTGATAAGCAAGATATATGCCAACGTCTTTTGGGGGTGGGCCGGGAGGATGAGGTGGTATGTGCTGTAGGTCCTGTTAATCTTTCTCTTGCCTCTATTGTTGATTTGAGGTGTAACATTGGGGGCGTAAGAACTCTGATATGGATTTTTTACTGCTTGGAACATTGCTGAGGTAAACTAAATCTATATATATGATGTCTTTCAGGAAAGAATACAGCTCGAAACTTCTCGTCTATACACACGGGCTGGGGTCAATCCTTTAGCAGGTACTGTTTTAACCCATCAATTTATACTTATCCTATTTCAATGAGCTTATTCCAATGATTTCTTCATTGTCCATGAAATGCGGAAAATTTTGAATTTTTTAGTCTTCAGCATTTTAATTACGAAGAACTAGGTGTGACCTTGTGTAAGATCCATTTTTGCCTTCTAGTCATTTAAAACAAATCAGTTTACCAGTATTGTATTTCTGACCCTCCCTATCTGTAATCTCAAATTCCTAGAAAAGGAAGAGAAAATAAATAGATAGGAGAGGTGAACACCCATTTGCTTTGGAGTGCAGCATACGTTACAGCATGACAAAAAGATATAATGCATGGATGTATGACCCGTGTGTTGTTGTACTATTGCGGATGGGATAAATCATGTGTAAAGATCGTTGGCATGGCCATCATATTTGGATCGATGTTTGATCATATTGTTGGCGTAAATCTTAACTTTTGTATGCCTTTTGACATTTGAGTGGCTCCACAAGCAACGTGCATTTCGTAGTTAGCTTGTAGAGTATCGGCTTGTCACAGTAGGAGAAATTTACATAAAAACAAACAGGACTAAAGTTTTTCAAATCATGTAAGCAATTCGAGTTCGGTGTAGACGACGTGGCATCAGCGAGCCGATTGTATTCTTCAGTGATTTCATCGAGTGTAGTGAATTTGTTTGTTGGTCGTAAAGCTCTATTGGAGAACAGCAACAAGTTCGTAACTGACTCTAATTTACTTAATATAATGTGATTGGTTTATTAGTATTGAGGTCGAGGAATAAAAAAGGGACTTCCATTGATAAACTGACAATGAAATATAACAGAAAAAAGGAACATGATCAACAGATAGGTTACGTACATAGCGTGAAATTGTTGTAAGACAGCGTAACTATTAAACTTGAAATTCCTTACAAATGGAGTAAAATATCATTAATTTCATGCCGAATATAGAATGGTCGGCAGAAACTGGTCAACTTATGATATGCATGTGCATTCTTAATGGGGCAACCATGATTTTGATGCATGCAATCCGAAAAAGGCTTACCTGTGATGCATGCAATCTTAATAGGGCAACCATGATTGTGATACACGCTTTTGCAAGTCTATGTGGATAACATTTTCTGCACCGACTATGATACTGAAGAATACTAGATGAAGTAATTTTCGAGTTGAAGTAATTCGCTTTTGTTTTGAAAAAGTAAAACCAAATGTCTTTCATTTTCTAGAATATAGTTAGTTATCAGCGATACTCATATTCATTGTTAACCAAGAAATTCCTTCCTTCTGGCAGTTAATTTCGCCATTATTGTTGTTGTCTTGTCCCAGTTATGATCAGTTTGATCAGATTTTTCTAATTTGTTCCTAAAATGGTTTATTACAGGATGTCTCCCAACCTTGGCCACCATACCAGTATGGATAGGTTTATACCAAGCCCTTTCAAATGTGGCGAATGAGGTATGACAGAGAGATGGTTGGCAGTGGTGGCAGTCTATTCTTACCTTATCCATTATAATCAAAGTTAAGCAACTCCTCCTGTTTTATTTCAATAATAAATTAGGGACTGCTAACTGAAGGATTCTTCTGGATTCCTTCTTTGGGGGGACCAACAACAATTGCTGCTCGGCAAAGCGGAGCTGGAATTTCCTGGCTATTCCCTTTTGTGGTAGTTGAATCTTAATTATCAACTGAACTGCCAGCTTAAGAGTCTTCATTTATCTTCCACATCGTGATTTCCATAGCATAACTTGCCAACTTTTGGTCGTTGATTATTTTCTTTTGAATCCTTTAGACCAGGTTCATATATATGAAAACTGATGATTTGCATTTTTTATGTGAATAATATTTCTCCAGCATATCTATTTTGCAGGATGGCCATCCACCCCTTGGTTGGCATGATACCACGGCATATCTTGTGTTACCTGTTCTTCTTGTTGTATCACAGTACGTCTCTATGGAAATAATGAAACCTCCACAAGTAAGTTTCCAAGTAGTTTGGTTGCTTTTATCATGTTCCTCTTCCTTCTGGCATGTTTCACTAACCTTAATCCTGTTTTGGTAGACAGATGATCCAGCTCAGAAGAACACGCTTCTTGTGTTGAAGTTTCTCCCTCTCATGATTGGCTACTTTTCTTTATCAGTTCCATCTGGATTGTCGATATATTGGTAATTTCAGTTATAATTTATTTTATCCCGTTTCATGCACTTCTGTGGCTTAACAATGCATGGGTTGGCATGCATGTGAATCTGGGTCGTGCTTGCGGAGATCCATACTTATGTTGCGTGCTAAGATATATCCTTTTTGGTTGCGGTTAATGAATGCTTATATTCACTTTTGGGCTTTTGAATAAATGCAATGGCCTTCTTGCATGTTTTGGGTTTTTTAAGCATTCTTGATCTGGATATTAAAAGCATAATTGGAGTAGATTGAATGGCTCAGTTATTAGATTCAGTGGATTGGCGAGACTATGCAAAAGTTTTGTTAATATTCATACTTTGGGAAAATATCTCTAGATTATGATATGTTAGCATTCGTAATTTGGAAAAGCCTCCCTAAATTATAAATTAATTAACCTCTTACTACATTTGATAATTGTACCCCTATACATCATATAGATCTTTCTTTGATGTATATCAGCCTGGATGAAATTCTGAGTTTGGTTTCTTGTATGATTACCTGATTAGTTTCTTATGATTCTTGCTTTGGAGGAAACTTTTTGCCCTTAAATTTATAAATATTCTAAAAAAAAAACTCGTAATTTGTATTTCACATTTCTCGAGTAACTTGCGTATATTATTGTATAACTCTCAATGGGACACTAAAAAATTTCAAACTTTTAGGTTCGTAAATAATGTGCTTAGCACAGCACAGCAGGTATGGCTACGGAAATTGGGTGGTGCAAAACCAGTTGTAAGTGAGAATGCCAGTGGGATTATTACTGCTGGACGTGCAAAGCGATCAGGTGTACTGGCAGATCAGGCGGGTGAAAGGTGGACTTAAATTTCCAAGTTCTTTTTTGTTCAGTGCAGTTTCGGAATGTCACTCACTGACTATAACTATCTAATAGATTTAAACAGCTAAAGGAAGAAGAGAATAAGAGTAAGAGTAAGGCACTGGCAGGGGATGATCTTCAGGCATCAACTTCTGCTGATTCCGAGTCTGAAGACGACAACACGGACAATGAAACTGAACTGAAGGTGAATTTTATCAGTCATTTCATCTGAATTGATCTTCTGAATTGATCTTCTGAATTGTCCTTTTGAATTGTCTTATGTCAAAACGTGCGGTGAGGACTTGGTTTCTTGTCTTGGTAAAACAGTTGTTGCTACTGGTTATGATCTGCATATGCGAGTGTTGTTCCTTTTGTTCTTTTTATTTTTCTCGTCCAAGACATGTACATAAAAGCTTCTTCCGGTTTCATTGTTTTAATTCACGGAATAACTAGAGTTTCTTTTTCTTTTGGTTTTTGGTGAGGCTACTCGGATTTTCTTTACAGAAGTGTCTGATGACAAGTTCTGTCATGTTACTTTATATATGTGTGCTTCTGTGTGACTGAGTGTGTGTGTGTGTGTGTGTGTGTGTGTGTGTCCTGATTACTAAGCTATTTTTGGTGTTTGGAGCAGGAAAAAGATGTTCTTTCAGAGGCATATGCATCTAGCAATGGAAAACAGGTCCCTCCTGGGCCGAGGAGAAGTAAGAGGTCAAAGCGCAAGCGTGTTGTATGACGTGAAATTTTGTAGCCGTGGTGTATCTTTGTAAATTTGTTACATTTGGAAATTTTTTCGTATAGTGCACATTTTATGCCGGTCAGTAGTTTCAAACATAGTTAAAATCATCACCGGTTTATTGTTTGGTTGAGAATGGTTTCAACCATTATTTAATTTGAACTTAAGAGTAACACGAATATTTTATTGGGAGACCTTGTAATCTCTCCTTAACAGGAATATCGCAGGGGATACCAAATAAAAATGTGGTGTGATTTATTATTTTTTATAATTGATTTGTCGGTAATGTTTAACTAAGGTAGATAACACATGTATATAAAAGAACTCTTTTTTTTTTTTTTTAATGATCAATATATTCTATTTTCAATTTGAAGGCCTTGTTAAAGAATTTATATGATGATCTTCTAATATGAGTAGCCTTTAATAAAAATTCAGCAGCTGAATTTTGGTTAATAGTCCCAAAATACTAGATATTGTAATTTGTTTGACTGAACTCGACTTCGAAGTCAATTGAAGAAATAATTCAAAATATTATTTCCAAATATCTAAATTCATCAAAATTCAAACAATTGTTTCAAAGAAATACTTAGGGTTCTTTCTTCGTTTGATGTTCATAAGACTTACCTTACAAGAACATTCATGACAAAAGAGAAGTGGAGTTGTGCTGAAACATCCAAAACGTGATGTTCAGGAGGCTAGATAGCCATATATTTATATACACTTGAATTAGGGTTTACAAAGCTATCTATGGAAACAAGATCAGAGTCTATCCTAATACACAATTCAAGCCACTAAATACTCCCTATAATTAAGGTATAGATATACATTCCTAACACACCCCCTCAAGTTGGAGCATGCGGGTTTAGAATGCTCAACTTGCTAAGGAAGAAGCCGAACTCGCGCTTGCCCAAGGCCTTAGTGAAGATGTCAGCAAGCTGGGATTTAGTGGAGACATGAGATGGGGAAATGAGGCCTTGAACGAGAGCATCACGGATGAAATGGCAATCCACCTCAATATGCTTGGTACGTTCATGAAAGACAGGATTGGCAGCAATGTGAAGAGCCGCCTGACTGTCACAATAAAGTTTCATGGGCTGAGAATGAACGACACCAAGACTGCTCAGTAAACCCTTCAACCATTTCAATTCACAGGTAATTGTGGCCATGGCACGATACTCAGCTTCGGCAGACGAACGAGCAACAGTTTGTTGCTTTTTGGTGCGCCACGAAAGAGGAGAGTGGCCAAGCTGCACAAACCAACCCGTTAGAGATCGACGTGTGGTAGCACATGAGGCCCAATAAGAATCACACCAACCAGAGAGCTGTAAATCACAATCGGAACGAAGAAGAATACCCTGGCCCGGGGTACCCTTAAGATACCGCACAACCCGAAGAGCAGCGTCCCAATGCAACTGACGGGGTTGCTGCATGAACTGAGATAAGATGTGCACAACATAGGACAAGTCTGGGCGAGTCACAGCAAGATAGATCAAACGGCCCACCAAACGCCGATATTGCTCAGGATCAGAGAATAACGGACCCTCCGTGGAAGAAAGCTGATGATTCTGCTCCATAGGAAAAGCAGTCAGTTTTCCGCCAAGTAAACCAGACTCGGCAACAACGTCTAGAGGAGTTCCGAGCAACTTCAATACCGAGAAAATATTTCAAAAGGCCTAAGTCCTTCATGTGAAAACAGCTGCCGCAAGTACTCCTTAAATTGAGAAATAACACTGGGGTCACTACCAGAGATAATCAAGTCATCAACGTAAACAAGAACATGTAGACGAGTAGAATCACGATGAAGGGTAAACAAGGAGTAGTCGGAAAAAGATTGTTGGAAACCATACTGCTTAAGAGCAGTAGCAAGTGTTGTAGCATATTATTTATATTTTTACCGAGTACCGAATCAAAAGATTCGTTCCCCGGGTCGATCTCTCGAGGAAGACGGTTCGGAATCTAGCGTTGGTATTAATCACGCACAAAAAGAAATAAGTCCTAAACACTCTAATCACGATTAATTTGGTGAATTAAATAAAACAAGCTAGAACTAGAAAAGCAATTTAAAGAAATAACAATTAAATCTCTAGAGAAAAGGAAGAAGTTCTAGGGGTTGGAAAATCTCATCAAGTTTCAAACTATGTTGAACGATTATTTGTTCGGTAATGAGATTTAACAAGCCTACACGTCTAGAGGGCTATGCTCAATAACTCTTCGTAACAAGAGCACATACATAAACGATAAACTCATTCAAACAAGCAAAACATAGACAATACGTTTCTGAACAAGTCTACTCTATACGAGCCTAAATCGACCGACATCTCCCCTATCAGTTCTAAACGTCGATTAACTAGGTTAGAATGGTGATCAATCAACTAACCCTATAATTCACACAACTCGCATAGATTGAACAAAACATATTCCACATAATTCAAACAAGAATCAAAATCCCTAACCCTAGGTGAATGGATTACCTCATGCTTAGATTCAATCTCACGTTAACTGGAATTAAGAACATTAAACCAATCAACAATAATAAAATAGAATTAAAAAACTTACAATCGGATTAAAACTTGAAAGATTTCAATCCACATGTCTTTGTGTCCAACAATCCAAGCATGAGAAAATAAAAAGAAAAGTGGAGAAAATTATCCTAACAATATAAAGTTTTTGGAGAGAAAAATTAAAAGGAACAATATTGGGGGTTGTTCCTTAGGTATGTAGGTTCGTTTTGATATATAGTGCGCGAAAAACAGAGCTAAAACGAGTAAAAATGAGCAAAAATAAAAACAGGGGTTGACAGGGTCGCGAGTCGCGAGTTGACTCGCGAGTTGCGAGTTGGACAGGTCGCTGGGCTGCTGGAGGCTCTGTTGAAGTCGCGACTCGCGACGTTTCTCTCGCGAGTCGCGACAAGAACTCGCGACTCGCCACTTTGTGCTCGTGACTCGCGAGATTCTGGGCTGCATTGCGCCATTTTGCGTTTTCGTCTCGTTTGAGCTCGTCCGAACTCGGAATTGAGTTCCGTTTTTTCCTATGCGTCGCTAACGAACCCCTCTATACAGTTATGCTCTCGAAACCAACTTTTCCTAAAGAGAAAATTCTCCCAAATCTTTCGACCTACACACCAAAAACGACAAAACACAAAAGAAAACCGAAAAAACAAACAAAAAACACCTAATGACTCAAAATGAAGGAAAACACATAATAAAACACAAAATGGACGAAAAACTAAAGAAACGACCTAAAACGGGGGAAAAGAAAGATAAAATATACACAAAAAATGCAACAAAAATGGGACAAACAACTCCCCCACACTTAAACCTTTGTTCGTCCCGAACAAAAAGAAAAGAAAAGAAAAGAAAAGAAAGGACACAAAACAAAAAACTCGAGCATGGACAACAGTCATTAACAAGATAAGCTTCAAAATGTTCAACTTCAACAACGAGCATTCAAATGGCACATACGAACATTACACAACTACATGCTTGATCTCTATACTCCGATTTGGTGTTCTCTCAAGTATGGGAATATATATGTGTGTCTCACTCGAATTCTTATACAAATAAAGATAGGTGCACTCAAATTGGTCGATAATAAGTTCAATCATATGCTTGCCCATTGTCTAACTTCTACTCTAAACCAATCAAATTCGAAGCTAGTGCATCAAAAGGTCTTTTCGGGTTGTAATGTAGGCTCTTTGGATAGGTAGGATAAATATAAGCTAAGTGGCTCGAATTCATTACATAACTCAAAAACCTTATCCCAAGAATCGTTCACTCAACCGGTTGCTCAAACATACCAGATCTTCCCCCACACTTCTCCTAAAACCACACATTTCACCCATTTTATTTCTTTTTTTTTTCTTTTTTTTTGTGTAAACCTTATTGGACATTTTATAATCCATTTTGGCTACATTTTTTGTTCTTTTTTTTTTGTTCTTGTTTTTTTCTTTTTTT